AAAGAGAGAGATACTACTGGCCAGGGTTTCGTGATTACTAACTACTTCGTTCCTACATCCCTTGCTGTTCGCCAGTATTCGACACCCTAAAAAAGATGGATCCTGATCACTTGGTAGCATTGGTGACCGAAGTTATTCCCAAGTATTCCTGCTAGTCCTTTTGTCCCACTAAGAAGAACTGTGAAAATGTAGCAGAAATGATATGCAAATTTTTAAGCAAGTAGGTTAATCTTTGTAAAACATTCTGTTTTGTTTTGATTATGAATTATAGATTGTGTATTATATTTACTGAAGAAACACTACTTCCTACAGAACATTATATTAGGTTCTATAGGACCTTGAAGAAAGAAAATTTAACTGTGAAATTTACATGAGGAAGTAGCCAGAGAAAAATTGTGAGGTTACAAAAAAAAGAGAGAGAGGAGAGAGAGGAGAAATGCTGACCAGTATAATGCTAGAAGTGATTGAAAACCCTTGGCTGCCAGTGAATCTTCTCGGAGGCTTTTTAAAAATCCCAGTGCTCAGGCTGCATCTTAGATAATTGGGAATCTGTGGGAGTGGCCCCCACTCATCGTTTCGCAAAGCTCCCCGGGCCAGCCTGACACATAGCCAAGGTCAAGAACCACCGGCTTACCTGGTCAAGAGCTGAGACTGATCGCTGTGGGGGTGAAGTGTGTCTTCAACTTCCCCCTCTCTTAAATGACTACCGTGGCTTCTGTTTGCTTAGTAAACTTCACACTTAACTCGTGTGGGACATTTGAATTTGATTTCCCAAGTAATTAAGAACGTAAACTGGTTTTGCAGTTTTATGGTATTTTAATATCAGCTGTTGTCATTCCATAGATCGGAAGTGCAAGTGACTTTAAATACTATAGTTCTAGTTTTGGTTTTTTTTGTTGTTTTTTTTTTTGAGACAGAGTCTCGCTTTGTTTCCCAGGGCTGAGTGAGTGCCGTGGCGTCAGCCTAGCTCACAGCAACCTCCAGACTCCTGGCTTAACAATCTCCTGCCTCAGCCTCCTGGGTAGCTGGGACTACAGGCATGAGCCACCATGCCCAGCTAATTTTTTCTATATATATTAGTTGGCAATTAATTTATTTCTTTTATAGTAGAGACTCGGAATCTCGCTCTTGTTTCAGGCTAGTTTCAACTCCTGACCTTGAGCAGATCCGCCCGCTCCGGCCTTCCCAGAGAGCTAGATTACAGGCGTGAGCCACCACGACTAACCTGTAGTTTCAGTTTTTTTCTGCCCGTATTGTCCATGTGTTAGTTTTTATCACTTTTTTGTAATTCTTTTGTGGCTCTTTATTCTAGTGCTAAATCACTATTCATAGACTATTAATCTGAGTATAATCTAGTCCATCGTCCACTGTCCTCCTAATCTACCCGTCATGGGATTGGCTAAGATAGAAATTGAAACGTATTGATGGCTTCAAAGATACAAATGCTTGGAAAAGATCAAGGAGTTGCTTATTTTGGGAACTGATGGTTGGTTCTTCACAATGAATGATTTTTATTATAAAAACCAGAAATTAAATTATATTGAAAAAAATGATTCTCAGTAAATCACTCCATTTTCTAGAATAATTTAAGGTAAATTAGCACTTAGCCAGCATCTCCATTACCGGTAAGTGATGGAAACATTGGAGGATATTATTGAGGTTTCTAAAGTGCTGGAGTATAGATATTTTACATATAGTGAGTATGATTAATAATATGTATTTTTCCACCTTCCAGAGAAGGAAAATGTGTGCCTTAAAATTAAACAAACCATCTTACAATAAAGATTGTTGTAGAAAGGAAAAACATCATAACATCTAGAGCAAGGGCCTTAAAACCAGTGGTATCCCACGGATTCGTAGAAGTACAGGAATGAACTTTCAATGGCAATCCGTGAACCCTCGTGAAATTAATTATGTCCAAGCATTTGTTTGTGTGAATAGTTTTTCAGGCTGGTTTCGAACTCCTGACCTCGAGCAATCCGCCCGCCTCGGCCTCCCAGAGTGCTAGGATTACAGGCTTGAGCCACCGCGCCCGGCCTTCCTTAGGTTTTTATAATAAAAATCATCATTGTGAAGAAGGCCAACTATCAGTTCCCAAAATAAGCAACTCCTTGATCTTATTCCAAACATTTGTATCTTTGAGCCATTCAATACATTTAATTCTATCTTAGCCCAATCCATGACGGTAGGATTAGGCGATGACTAGATTATAATCCAGATTAATAGTCTATGAATAGTGATTTAGCACTAGCTAAAGAGCCACAAAGAATTACAAAAAAGTGATAAAACTACACATGGGACAATACGGGCAGAAAAAAACTGAACTACAGGTTGGTCGCGGTGGCTCACGCCTGTAATCCTAGCTCTCTGGGAGGCAGAGGCGGGCGGATTGCTCAAGGTCAGGAGTTTGAAACTAGCCTGAACAAGAGCGAGATCCAGTCTCTACTATAAATAGAAATAAATTAATTGGCCAACTAATATATATAGAAAAAATTAGCCGGCATGGGTGGCCATGCTTGTAGTCCCAGCTACTCGGGAGCTGAGGCAGGAGGATTGCTTGAGCCCAGGAGTCTGAGGTTGCTGTGAGCTAGGCTGACGCCACGGCACTCACTCTAGCCTGGGCAACAAAGCGAGACTCTGTCTCAAAAAAAAAAAAAAAACAAACAAAAAACAAAACTGAACACAAAAAAATCAAATGACACTATAGTATTTAAAGTCACATTGCACTTCCGTCTATGGGAATGACAAAGCTGATATTAAAATACCATAAAACTGCAAACCAATATACGTCTTAATTACTTAGGAAATCAAATTCAAATGTCCACACGACTTAAGTGTGAAGTTTACTAAGCAAACAGAAGCCACGGTAGTCATTTAAGAGAGGGGGAAGTTGAAGACACACCTTGCCCCCACAGCTATCAGTCTCAGGCTCTTGACCAGGTAAGCCGGTGGTTCTTGACCTTGCTATGTGTCAGGCTGGCCCGGGGAGCTTTGCGAAACGATGAGTGGGGGCCACTCCCACAGATTCCCAATTATCCAAGATGCAGCCTGAGCACTGGGATTTTTAAAAGCCTCCGAGAAGATTCACTGGGCAGCCAAGGTTTTCAATCACTTCTAAGCCATTATACTGGTCAGCATTCTTCTCTCTCTTTTTTTTTTTTTTGAGACAGAGTCTCACTCTGTCCCTGGGCTACAGTGCCGTGGCGACAGCCTCACTCACAGCAACCTCCAACTCCTGGGCTTAGGCGATGGTCAGCATTCTCTTAAATCTAACTCACAATTTTTCTCTGGCTACTTCCTCATGTAAATTTCACAGTTAAATTTTCTTTCTTCAAGGTCCTATAGAACCTAATATAATGTTCTGTAGGAAGTAGTGTTTCTTCAGTAAATATAATACACAATCTATAATTCATAATAAAAACAAAACAGAATGTTTTACAAAATTAACCTACTTGCTTAAAAATTTGCATATCATTTCTGCTACATTTTCACAGTTCTTCTTAGTGGGACAAAAGACTAAGCAGGAATACTTGGGAATAACTTCGGTCACCAATGCTACCAAGTGATCAGGATCCATCTTTTTTAGGGTATCGGAATACTGCGAACAGCAAGATGTAGGAACAAAGTAGTTAGTAACCACGAAACCCTGCCAGTAGTCTACCGGTGTGACTTAAAAGGTAGCCATCCATAACTGTGAATTGCTCAATTAATAAAAGATGAAATCTATATTAAATATCAAAATGTTAAATCTTAATTTTTCTTAGGTTATTAGGGTTTTATTAGGTATATTTAGTTTTTATTAAAAACCAGAATTAACTAAACAAAATTAAAGAAGTGAAAATAGTTATTATTATTAATAACCCCACTATACACCCATCTCACCAAAGCAAAACAAAAAACTCCACAGAAAGACATACAGATTGATCCTAATGTCTGTTGAAGGACTGCATAAATAAGACATACCTGTTACTGAATTATGACAATTTTTGCAATGCTAATAAGTACACTTAAGGAACTCAAAGAACATGAAGAAAAGATCTAAAGTTAATCTCAGTTCCTTTGCCTTTACTGAAAACTAATTAAAATATAGATTTAGAGTAACATACCTTCATAGAACTGCTGGAAAAATCTCCTTTCTCCCTTTTTAAATATCCTTCATATAATCATAAAATACTAATATAGTATACATTAATATTATTATATACCAATATCTGAACTACCTGGTCCATAAATTATTCTTTTGTTGTTGTTGTGGAGTGAACAAACATTTACAGGAGAAATTTCCAAATTTTCTTGGTTTACAGAGCCCCAATGCCCAAAGAAATACCTAACAGTTTTGTTAATTAATTAGTTAGGTCCAAACAACTTAAGATTGGACCTCCTCTGTTCCAGACTGACTTCACATGTTGTCTGCTTACAGCAACTACAAAAACCCCAGTTTCACAAAGATACGATTATCTTAGAAAGGAACACCATGTGATCTAACATTGAAATTGGAAACTAGCTATTTTGAACCAATAGTTTGTATGGTGTCCAAGAGACTTGTCAAGCATCAGCTGTTTCTCTCAAAAATTTAAACTATCCCATGGCACCCTCTAGAAACTTCTGTGGTGCCCCAGGACACCTGGGCACAAAGTCTGGGAAACAGTGACTTACTGGATATCAACCTTACCTTATAATTAAGGAGGCGCGAAAAAGTCATGCCATTCTCAGCTTTGCTGTCAACCTCATATATTGTATCATTTATTTTCAGATATTCTTTTAATTCAACCTTGAAATAAATAGACATTTGCAATTAATACCACATATGACTTCCTCTTTCCAGACTTTTTAATTTTGTAAAATAAGTTGTAAAAAAAAAAAAAAAAGGATAGCTATACAAAGATTTTAGTTTTTCTAAGATACGTAAAGCATGCTTCATGAACTTCAACTTAAAAGTTCTTGCTTTACCATTTCTCTGTCTTGGCCTCTTTTTCTCTTTAAATCAGAATAGGGATTTTATATATATATATTTTTCAATGTAGTGTTTTAAAGCAATACAATAGGGATTAATATCCTTAGAAGAAATACTTTTAAAATGAGTAGCCACATACCTGAAAGGAAATCAGATACTTCCTTGTCACAAAAAGTGTGAGTGAGTCAAACTGGTCACACTTTTTATCTTTCATTAGTGTTGTCTTGCTTCTCAAGATCTAAAACTTTGTCTTACTAGTCATCTGTTTTAATTCTAACATCGCCATATTATTTTTAATTTCAATACTTGTAGACAAAAATAGTTTGTAAACACAGCTTACAGAGCTTTTAAAAGAACAGTACGTAATGTAACAATTAAGGTCATAACATATCTCTTGAAAATTTTCATTTTAAGTGCAAATGTAAAAATATCATATTTCAAATTAAAATTTGGTGATTTTCAAAAATCATTTCCAGAAAACCTATTCAGACACAGAACACGCGCACTAGTGCTGCAGACAGACTATATATTATAGGCTACTTCCAAGTAACTACAAGTCACACTTGTTTACGTTCCTTAAGCATTCTGAGAATGCTGTTATAGAGGAGTTTAAATCCATGTGAAGTCTTAACTTACTAAAAAGGCATTATAACTTCCAAAAGCATAAGTATTTGAAAATTTTTTAACTTTTAAAATAAAATTTTTAATGTGCCAATAACTCAAACCATGTCTTGCTCAGTTTTGGCCAAATGAAAAAATTTAGAGAATCAGAAGTGAAAAAAACAGGATGGGTCTGGAAAAATTCAGTTAATAAATGTTCACTGAGGGCCCAGAGGCAGGCACTGTTCCCAGTGCTACCCATACTATACCTTAGTGACCCAAGCCCAAATCCCTGACCTGTATGCAAACTCTTTGCATACGGCCATGGTGAGTAAAATTACGCCCCTTCACTACTCCATTTTTTATATGCTTACTACTGATGTTTCTAAGTAAGATGAATATAAAACAAATCAATACAGCGCAAACCTTAGGTACATACTGGTCTGAATTGATTGGTGTAATATTCTGCTTGAAGGAACTCTTGTAGGTCTTCAACATTGTTTAATGTTGCACTCATACCAATAATCTGAGTTGTTTCTAAGGAAAAAAAAAAAAAAGAACCCCAAAGTATTAAGGAAAATGTGTTATTTAGTATATCATGACATAACTTGCTTGCTCTTTGATTTTTTGAGACAGAGTCTGCTTTGTTTTGCCCAGGCTAGAGTCTGAGTGCCAGTGGCGTCAGCCTGTCGCTTCACCAGCAACCTCAAAGGCCGAACTCCTGGCTCGAAGCGTCTCCTGCCTCAGCCCTCCAGTAGCTGGGACCTCACAGGCATCGCCCACCTCGCCTGGCTAGTTTTTCTAATATAGCCCGCTAGCGCTATCACCGTATGCCAATACAACTTTTTCTATATTATCATAGAGATGGCGGGGTCTTTGTCTGCTCAGGGCTTGGTTTAAGCCCTGACGTCAGCCAATCACCTGCCTCAGCATCCCAATACCTAGGATTACACGCGCGTGACACCCGTCCGGCCTGCTTACCCTTGTAGACTCACTGCTCCTTACAAAACTCCATCCAGGTTGGTACCAATAGCATCCCTTAGTTCAAACTGAAGACAACAGGAGCAAGCTCCATAATCCTATCTCATTAGGATTCTAAACTAAACAAAAGCTTAAATAATTCGGCTTTATGTTACACCAGGGGACTACGCAAGCTGATAGAAAATAGTCTTTTTGTAAGGCTCGTTGCAGTAAATCATTAGACCTCTTTGCAAAAATAAACTCTACTGCTATCGAAACGGATTCTTGCTAAGTTCATTTCCAGACTGCGCCGGACGGCTCTTCAAATCATATTGCAACTTTGAGATCACAAACAGTAGATGACCGACATCAATCTCACCTAATGCTATATATAAAATGGCATATATTTTAACAATGATCGCTGTACTCTTCTTTATAACCTTTATACTTCTAAGTCAACCACTTTGCACAGTATATGTAACGATTCATTTTCTTATATTTTGCTTAATTATTCTGGGGCCATACTCCCTGACCTAGAAGTCGTAGGCATCACAGTCCTATTATAGCAAATAGCTATACCGGCCACACACACATCATTCAACTTCAGGAACACCACCTGACAACAAGAGCAAATTTAAAGCTTACAATATGGACGAGTCTTCACTTGCGTCTTCGACTTTAAATCATGCAATTACTCGTACCTCTCTATTACGAGGTAGTAATCAAGCAGGACCCACATAATATCAGCAATATAACATCGTTAGTATACAGATATAAATGCTCCCACTCTGAAACGACAGGAAGGTAGTAACCTAACCTCATCTACACAGCACAGCGGCCCAGACTGCTCACCCTCCCAGTCTTAAATCAAGGAGTTCACCACAGCTATTCCCTTTTTCGATGCTCGCAATACAGTGATTCTTCCCTTCTCTCAGCTCGGGGAAATCTCTCCTTTGCTCCCAGCGTTACTTCGTTGCACCAAAGACGAGTCTAACCAAACTTGACACAACCTGAAATCTAGAATAGGAGTTTAAAGTAATCAAACAAAAACACAGGTCAAGTAATAACTAATTTGTGCTCACTGGGATTCATAAGACACTAAGCTGGTGTTTCATACCAATCAAGGGACAAGGTCCACCAGTACAACACACATGGTCTAAGAAAGCATAACTGTGCCTTGATTTATGCCACTAAATGCAACTTTTAAATATACGACATAGAGAAATTTCAATGTCTCCTTTTGATGTCAGATAAGTATCAGAATACTGCACTTTATTTAAGAAACATAATTGGTTATGCTTCTGCTGAAGAACCAGTAATATTAATAGAAACCATAGAGTAAATGGATTTAATCACAGTTTATGAAACAATAAAATTTTGCACAGTATTTACGCATCTTCAAGAGCATTTATAGTAATACCCACTACTGCTTTTCTTACAAAGCCAAAATTTCAAATCTCTGCATCATCTAAGAATCACTTCTACCACCATAAACGTTCTCTTACATTTAGTCAATTTATATCTTAACCTGCACACAATGTTGCACAATAACATTTCGTTCGGTGAAATCATACGTTTCTCTGGCGATTGCCCCTGCAAGGATCATTAACAACATCTCTGTCCTGCCTGGCAAACGCAGTTTGTCGCATTAGCGATCCAGCCACAAGGTTTTCCCACCACTTGTTGGCAAGGAACCATATAGTTTTCTTCTTGCCACGAGACTTCAAGCTTAAATCAAGATGTGGCCATTCTGTGGAATAAACAAAAGGCATATTACCATCATACTTTAATCTCAAAAAAATTTTCTTTCAAGAGAAAAAACAAATCTTCTCTTAATGCCATTTTCTCAACGCACTAGGTTAGTAATCAGTGTTAAACTGTCAAAAACGGCTGGGCGCAGCAGGCTCACCTGCCTGTAACTCCCTAGCGACTTCGAGGCACGAAGCGGAGGATCGTTGCTCAGGAGTTTTGAGACCAGTCCTGAGTAGAGCAATGACCGTTCTACTCAAAAATAGAAAAAAATTAATTCGCCAACCAACTGAAAGATAATCTACAAACAATTACGGGCATGTTGGCGCAGTTCCTGTATACCCAGCTACTTACGCGGAGGCTGAAGCAGGAGATCGCTTGCAGCCCAGGAGATTGGAGGCGCTGTGCAGCCGACCGACACCCCAGGCACCTCTAGCCTGCAACCCAGAAGTGAGCACTACTGATTAAAGAAAAAAAAGCTCAAAAACCAACAACCGCTGCGTGAACACAGCCCCAACAGGTCCTCATTCAGGCGCGCCTGGTACAGGTGGCAACTGTCTGTCTATTATACACTCACTTGGTCTAAGTTCCAGCAGCAGACCAGCAGCCTGGTACAGAGACACATACTGACATCGGGAGGAAAGACAGTGAAGCCTTGTGTGATTCTCGTTCTCTTAATTATATATCAAGAATTTATGATACTTCCATTCTTATCTTCACAGACCAACCTAGAGAATGAGGGGAAATTCTATGAGATTTTATAAAAAAAATTCACCAGTGGGCGAGGTCCACAGCATGTATCAGCGCGAAGGCCAGGCGGGGCAAGATCTTTGCAGGAGTTCGAAACGCCATGAGCAAGCGCACCATCTCTACTAATAAGCTTTGACACAATTTATACAAATAATTAGGCCGGGCATGGCGACCTTGCCTGTAGTCCCAGCTACTAGGGGCTGAGGCAGGAGGATTCGCTTGACCGTGGGATCTGGCCGGTAATGCTGTAAGCTAGGCTGAGCCACGGCACTCTAGTCCAGGGAAACAGATGAGACTCTGTCAAAAAAGAACAACAAAAAAAAAACTTCTCTACCAGCCTTATAGAGACTGAACTTTTGATGGCCTAAAACAAACCCGGAAAAGACGAACTATTTAAACGAAAGGACTGCTTACAATCAGCTAGGATTAACTGGGTAACACTCCAGATTCCCACAACTTACAAAGATGTGATTCATGAAACACCAGACTCCCCAGACATGGTACATAAAAACCAGTTACTGATCATTCTGTAGATACTTCATGAGTACCGGACTCAGTCTCAAAATGTGCATCAGTAGACAAATGGGCAATAATAAAACTACACAGGAAGAAATGCAAAGCGCCATTAAATACATGAAAAGACCCTCAAACTGTTTTCTACCTGGGATGGCAAAATATAAATAAAGAGCCAAATACACTCCCCACAAAATCAGAAACTCCCCCCCCCCATAACACACACAACTCCAATCTGTGAGATATGAGGAACACCGCCACTCTCATGGATGTTTGTAAGAACACCCTAACATGCTACTATCCTCTTGGAAACGTAATCTACAGTATCAAAAATAAACCACACTGCTTTGAGCTAGCATTCACATATTATAGGACTCTACAGTCTATAAAATAAAAGCTAGTCAGCACGGTGGGTTGCCCCTGTAATCTTGCGCCTTTTGGGACGCGCCGCAAGGCAGAGCGATTGCTCCGAGGTCAGGAGTATCAAAGACCAGCCTGTGCCAAGGGAACCCACTCTCTACCAAAAGACAAAAGGAAAAAAGAAAAACTTAAACAGGCATGGTGGCATGCACCTACAGTCCCACTTACTCAGGAGCTGAGCCAGAAAACTGCTTGAGTCCAGGAGTCTTGAGGCTTGCAGTGAACTATGATGATGCTATTAACCTCTACCACGGCAACAAGAATGAACTGTCCTCAAAAGAAAACAACAAATATAACCACAGATCGATCAACGAGATAATATTTAGGAATATCACCTATCTTCCTAATTGACAAGAAAAATTATAGTTAACTTAGTTCAACACTTTAAGCATATAAAAACCAAACCATGTAAATTCTATGATAAAAAGGCAAATAGATAAAGATTAGCTTGCAGGTCTCTCGTAGCTTGTGGTTCATAAACTTTTGGGCACATAGGAATCCCCTGCAGGCTTGTTAAAACAGACTGCCAGGTCTCACTCCAAGAGGGTTCTGATGCAGCAAGTCTATGGCTAGTCTTGATAATGTGTATTTCTTCAAATTTCCAACTGATATGGATGCTGTAGTCCACATCTTAAGAACCACTGCTTTAGCTTAATAAAAAATAGCACATTTGTTAGCATATTTGTTCTTTAAACTGGTCATGTTATTAAGCCAGTTTTGCAAGTAAAAAGAGATTATTTACTGAAGTTCTTACTTAGAAGCTACCGCTATAATTGACAGTCATTACCAACATCTAATTTGGCATGTCCTTGACACAGAATCTAACTTGCAAAACAATCATCTTTTTAAAAATTTTTCTTAACAGATGAAGAACTAAGGCTCAGAGTGCTAAACCTGTCTTTAAGTGACAAGGCCAGAATTCATAAGGAGGCTCATAACCCCCAGCAGCTGAGAACCTACCAAGAGCGTACCAGGCACAGTGCTAGTTACGTAAGGAAAGCTGAGTTAGTCAGAGCCCTGTTTTCGGGGTACTCATTCTGGCAAGAGGCAAAGATTAAACAAAGAACAAGGTGTTAGAAGAAAAGCAGAGGGAAGAAAGTTAACATCTGCTTCAAAGGCAATGCACACCATAAGCTCTTAAACCATGAACTAGACTATTTAGAATTGAACTCTTGTAGAGTCTTACGTTAGACTTTGATTGTTCCCTGTAATTCTACTTGTCCAACCTGATTGTCTTCTTCCTCAGAACTCATGTTTTCATACTGTTCGTAAGATTCTAACAGGAGTTCCAGAAATACTTATGAAATGATAGCTTGACGGGCTGATCTTCCAGCGTGGCCCTTCCAGTCAAGTGTCCCTTGTCTAAAATGACACATATATGAAATACATACAATGATCCAGGATTTAAAAAAAAAACACATTATAAAGTACATTATTATTATTATTTCTTTGCATGTAAATATTAACTGCAGCTGTCTTTAAAGATATTTAATCTTCATCGGTGGTTTTACTAATACTGACTTCTTTCACTAGAGACATCTGAACGTTCAAAGGAATTTCACTAAGTTTTGGCAGAGGAGAACCAGCCAACGAAACATTAGCTAAGAAAACTGAGGAACAGGTAGACAATCAGAGAAAAAACCAGGGTGGTGTGTCAAGAGGTCAAGAAATAGGAGTTTTAAGAAGGGTGTGGTCAATGGCCTCAGGTAAGTTACTGAGAAATCAGGTAAGGTAAGCATTTAAAAAAAAAGTACCACTGGATTTAGACACCCTACGCATCACATCCTAAGCAAAAGCATGGAACACAGAAGTAGTAGAAAGGACAGAGGAATTATCTGAGGTGAGGAAGAGAAGGATAACTGGTTTGATAAGGGTGACTGCAAAGGGAAGAAGTTCAGCTGCCGCAGCATAGGAATGGAAGCATGAGAGATACCTGGTACTCGGATTTATTTTCAAGATGAGAAATATGACCATGAAAGCATTTGCTTCTGTTGATTTGCACTAATATTATAACGATGGGAAAATTTTTTTTTTCCATTCCAGCAAAAAAGCATTACCATATAATTTTTCAATTCCCTTGAATTGAAAATAAAGGTCTCTCACTTTGCTGGGTAAAGAATAAAAAGGACCCAGGTCATGTGATGACGACTCGATTGTTTTCTTAGCAACACTCATTTCTTCGGATAGGAGAGTCTCTTTCAGATGTTTGCTCCTAGAAAATACTGGTGTTTGGGCCTTGGCATTTCCAGTCATGGCACTTTTTAGATGATCCTTAACACTTTTTCTCCTATTCACATCTGAACTAGTTCCGACTTTAGATGACGACTCATCATTTTGCCGGGGTTGCTCTATGAGATTATGGGGGGATTCCTCATTCAACGTCTTGTGATAGGGTGAGTTCCGATCTCTCTCTTTAGTAGACTGATCGCCCAAATCATCTGAAGAGTTCTGTAAATTTTCAAAGTATAGAACCTGTGAAGAAGGTACATCATACAAAAGACCAGCGCCAGCTTCAACAGTGACATCTTCACGCCCACTCTGGTTCTCTGTGTGCTTATCAGTTTTTAAGTCAGCAAAGGTGCCTACAGATCTCCAAAAATTTTTTTCTAAGAAAAAAATCAAATTCTTTCCTTAATGGCGTCTTCTCATAGGAATATGTTATAATCGTGTTAAATGTCAAAAATCGCGGGCGCAGAGGCTCACCTGCTGTAATCCTAGCACTCTGGGAGCAGAAGCGGAGGATCGTTTGAGCTCAGGAGTTTGAGACAGCCTGAGTAAGAGCAAAGAACCGTCTCTACTAAAAATGAAAAATTAATTCGCCAACTAAAGATAATACATAAAAAATTAGCCGGGCATGGTGGCGCATGCCTGTAGTCCCAGCTACTTAGGAGGCTGAGGCAGGAGGATCGCTTGAGCCCAGGAGTTGGAGGCTGCTGTGAGCGAGGCTGACACCATGGCACTCTAGCCTGGGCAACAGAGTGAGACTATGACTCAAAGAAAAAAAAGTCAAAAATCCCAAACGTGCAGTGAACACAGCCAGAAAGAGTCTCATTCAGGCCTGGTTAGCAAGGTGGGCAACCTGTCTGTCTATTCATCAGCTGCAGACTTGGGTCTAAGTTCCCAGCAGGGCAGACAGCAGCCTGGTCAACAAGGAGCATCATCTGGGACATCAGAGGAGGAAAAAGACAGTGCAAGGACTTGTGTGAATTCTACAGTTATCCTCTTATGTTTTGCAAAGAGATTATGTAAACTTCCTTTCCTTATTCACCCAAAAGCCAACCTAGAGAGAATGAAGGGGAGGAGAGAAAATAATCTATGAGGTTTTATACAACCAATAAAAATTCACCAGGGTGGGGCAGGTGGCCACGCCTGTAATCCTAGCACGCTGAGAGGCCCAGGCGGGGCAGATCATTTGAGCTCAGGAGTTCGAAACCAGCCTGAGCAAGAGCGAGACCCCATCTCTACTAAAAATAGAAATTATTTGCCACTAAATATAATAGAAATAATTAGCCGGCATGGCGACCCTTGCCTGTAGTCCCAGCTACTAGGAGAGGCTGAGGCAGGAGCGCTTGAGCCTGGGAGTTGGAGTTGCTGTAAACTAGGCTGATGCCACGGCACTCTAGTCCGGGAAACAGAGTGAGACTCTGTCTCAAAAAGAACAAAACAAAAAAAAACTTCTCAGCCTTATAGAGACCTGAACTTTGAATGGCCTAAAACTATTTTAAACTGATAAGACTGTTTAATCAGCTAGGTATTAACTGGTACATCTAGGATTCCCACAAACTTACAAAGTGGATTCATGAAAACCCAGATCCAAGACATGGTATAAAAACCAGTACTGACTACTCTGTAGGATACTTTCATGATGTAGATCAAGTTCTCAAATGTGCATCAGTAGAAAATGGGCAAAATTATAATACATTTTCACAACAGGAAGAAATGCAAATGCCAATAAATACATGAAAGACCCTCACTAGTTTTCTACTGGGATGGCAAAATAAATAAAATAAAAACCAAATAACTCCCAAAAAATAGAAAGCCTCCCCCCCCCATACACACACAATCCAGATCTGGTGAGAATGAGGAGACACAGCCATTCTCATGGATGGTTTGTAAGAACATAAATTGCTACTATCCTTTTGGAAAGTAATCTAGCAGTATCAAAAAAAACCGCACACTGCCTTTGAGCTAGCATTACTACTTATAGGACTCTACATCTATAGAAATAAAAGCTAGTCAGGCACGGTGGCTTGCCCCTGTAATCTTGGCACTTTGGGACGCCAAGGCAGGAGGATTGCTCGAGGTCAGGAGTTCAAGACCAGCCTGTGCAAGAGGGAGACCCCATCTCTACCAAAAAGAAAAAGGAAAAAAAAAAAAATTAAACAGGCATGGTGGCATGCACCTAGAGTCCCAGCTACTCAGGAAGCTGAGGCAGAAGAACTGCTTGAGTCCAGGAGTCTGAGGTTGCAGTGAACTATGATGATGCTATTACACTCTACCAAGGGCAACAGAAGAGACTGTCTCTCAAAAAAAAACAAAAAATTATAAAATAATGATCAAAGATAATATTAGAATACACCTATCTTCCTACATTAAAAAAAATATATTAACTTAGTTCTGAACACTTTAAGCATATAAAATCACAAACATTAATCTATGATAAAAAGGCAAAGATATACATATTGCTTCAAAAAAATAAAAATACTTACTGCTAGTGTAAAGGATTTTTGCTAGAGTCATTTCCAGTATCGCTCCACGGCTTCCTTCACCAATCATATGCAACTTTGAGATTAAAAAACAAGTAGAGAAGTCAATCTTCACCTAATGCCTATATAAAACATGCATATATTTGTATACAATGAATATGTAATCTTTACTTTATAACTTTTAACTATTCTAGAGATAACAACTTTAGCACATATATTAATACATTATTTCTCTTATATTTTGTTAATGAGTTTGGGGGCAATATCCTGATAAATCTAGGATTCACAAGTCCTATTATAAAATAGTATACCGCACACACACATATTCATACTTCAGGACACACTTGACACAAAAGCAAATTTAAGCTTATCAACTATGGAATGTCTTCACCTGTCTTGACTTTAAATTCAATTACTTACTCTTATAGAGGTATACTAAGCAGACCCACATAATAATCAGAATAATAAATCTTAGTATAAGAAAAATGTTAATAAACGACAGAAGTAGTAACTAACCTCATCTACAACAACCAGGCCCAGACTGCTGACCCTCCCAGTTTCAATCAAGGAGTTCACCAAGCTATGTCCTTTTTCGATAGTGGCAATATACAGTGATTTCTTCCCCCTTCTTTTAGTTGGAGGAAATCTTCCTTTGCTCCCAGCGTATTCTTCAACAAAGAAACCGAGTTCTATACCAAAACTTGACAAACCTGAAATCTAGAATAGGAGTTAAAGTAAACAAAAAAAAACACACGTAAGTAATAACTCTAATTATTAAGTGCTCACTGGGATTCATAAGACAGCTAAAGTGGTGTTTCATACCAATCAATGGGGACAAGGTAACAGATAAGACACACATGTCTAAGAAATGCCATAATGTGTTGATCTTTGCAAACTAAATGCAACTGTTTAAATATAGAATAGGAAAGTAAATTTCAATTGTCTCCTTTGATGCCAGAAAGTATCAGAATAACTCACTTATTTAAAAAAAATAATTGGTTAGCTTCTGCTTGAAGAAACAGGCTAAATATTAATAGAACATAGAGTAAAATGGAGTTTAATTCACCAGTTTAGAAAAAAAATAAAACTTTCTGCAACAGGTAATTAGCATTTCAAGAGATTTTAAGTAAGTACCCAATACTGCTTTTACACAGCCTAAAATATTAAATCTTCATCATTAAGAAGCACTTCTTCTCAGCCAATAAAATGTTGTTACATTTATGCTAATTTTTATATCTTAATGTCAAAATAATGTTAGCAAATAACATTTGTTTTAAATAAACTCATACCTTTTCTTGGACAATTGCCACGTATGGAAGGATCATTAAAACATCTTTCTGCTGGCAAAGCAGTTCTTGTAGCATTATGATCTCAGCCACAAGGGTTTTTCCACCACTTGTTGGCAAGGAATATATTAAATTTTTTCTTTCTTGCACAGAATTCAATGTTAAACAAGTATGCTGCCATTCTGTGGAATTAAAACAAAAGGCACTATTTTTACCATCTATACTTTAAATCTCAAAAAAACGCCTTCGTGAACCTTTTCTGTACCGTGTTTCCCCGAAAATAAGACCTATCCCGGAAAATAAGCCACAGCAGGATGCCTAAGCATTGGCAATAGAAGCCTACCTCCGAAAATCAGCCTAGTGAGGGCGTGCCTTGTGAAAAACAGCCCCTACTGAGGGCGTGCTTATGAAACACCAGCGCCCTAGTAGGCGTACTATGAAATCACCCTGGTGAGGGGCGTGTCTGGAAATCAGCCCTAGTGAAGGGGCGTGGCTTGATAAATCAGCCCTAGTGAGAGCCGTGGCTATGAAAATCAGCCCTAAGTGATGGCGTGGCTATGAAAACACGCCCTAGTGAAGGGCGGGCTATGAAAATCAGCCCTAAGTGATGGGGCCGGACTATCGACAAAATCAGCCCTAGTGATGGGCGTGGCTATGAAAATCAGCCCTAGTGAACGGGCGTGGCTATGAACAACAGCCCTGGTGATGGCCGTGGCTATGAAATCAGCCTGTGAGGCGTCGCTATGAATCAGCTAGTGACCCGGGCGTGGCTAGCACCGCATCTGCCAACCGTGCGTGTTGTCGCGGGGCGGGAAGACACGAGCACCCTTCTCAATCCGCTCCGTGAGAGCTCTAGGGTCGACAGGGAGATCAGGGCTGGTGGCCTCTAAACGGAAACAGAGTCGCAAGACATTCAGATGGGATCGGGTCGAGAGGTGAGGATGAGTTCCCAGAAGAAACGCCTTCAACTCCTATTTGAATCAATGCCAGATGGTTGTACCGTACTTGAAAAGAGATACCACACTCCCCGAAAGTAAGCCTAGGGGTTTTAAAACTTGAGGAAAAATAAATATAAGACCTGTCTTGTTTTCAGGGAACACGTATACTAAGAAACTGGAGACCCTAAGGCCGGGCCCGGTCTCACGCCTGTAACTCTAGCTCTCCCTGGGAGGCCGAGGCGGGCGTATGCTCGAGGTCAGGAGTCAAACAGCCTGAGCAAAGAGCGAGACCCGTCTCTACCTCATAAATAGAAGAATTAAAAATTGGCCACCCATATACTATATAAGAAAAAATTAGCCCGGGCCAATTGGCGCATGCCTTAGTCCCAGCTACTTGGGCCGAGACAGAAGGAATCGCTTGAGCCCAGGATCCTGAGTTCTGTGAGCTAGGCTGACGCACACGGCACTACTCTAGCCTAGCCAACAAAGTGAGACTCTTCAAAAAAAAAAAAAAAAGAACTGGAGACCCTAGACGTAAAAGTAATTAATACACGCAGCAAATAAGTGGCATGACCGAGCTGCATTTAATATAAACTTCGAAATGACTGCTGCTCCTGCTGTACTAAATAAAATCTATTATTTATGGAAGGCCCATTAGGTGCTGGGGACTGATTAAACGAGTTACATTATTTAGATTTTAGTGCAGTAATCAGGCCCTGAGAAGCTGAGATACTGCAGTTCTGACTCTAAATCCTGTGTTCTTAATCGCTTCAGTGTATTGCTACCTCCAAGTTGCCAGTCTCTTCCACGTGGTAGACCACCCTAAGTCAGTGTACAATCTCCAGCTAAAAGTCCTAGGACTCTCTTGAGATCTTCCAGAATCTTCCAGGACTTCCTAGGAGTGTGGTACTACCGTGATTTTGTGACAGGCCAGTCTCTAGGTGGAGTCTGGTGGACGCAGCGTTAACAGAACTCCAGTGAGCTGACATCTCCGTAAATGTCTACGAGTCTTACTGCCATGTAAGCATTTAGCACAGGGTTAAGAATTAGAATTCCAGGGGCCGGGCGAGGTGGCCCTCGCCTGTAATCCTAGCATTCGGGAGCCCGAGGCAGGACAGATCGCTCAAGGTCAGGAGTCAAAACCAGCCTGAGCAAGAGCGAGACCCGTCCCTACCTAAAAATAGAAAGAAATTAATGGCCAACTAAAAATATATAGAAAAAATGAGCCGGGCATAGTGGCGCAGCCTGTAGTCCCAGCTACCCGGGAGTGAGGCAGGAGGAACGCTTGAGCCAGGAGTTTGAGGTGCTGTGAGCTAGGCTGATGCCAAGGCACTCTAGCCAGGGCAACAGAGTGAGACTCTGTCTCACAAAAAAAAAAAAAGAATTAGTATTTCAGTATATTATAACACTCCAGGAGTGCTGTTTAGGTAAGTCACTTAAACTTGCTGGGCCTCCATTTCTTCATCTGTAAATTGGTAATGATAATATCTGTTTGATAAGATGATTTACATAGAGGTCTGTGAACCACATGTGACCATATCATTGTATGCTTCTAGGCTGGAGATTTTATTCTTAAGTTAGAATTTCCATACGTATTTTTCTTTTCTTTGCAGCCTAATGACAGCGAAGAAGACATGTTTGGTGACTACGATAGCTTCACTGAAAACTCCTTTTTAGCTCAAGTTGATGATCTGGACCAAAAATGTATGCAACTTCCTGAACATAAGAAACATGCTACAAACTTTGCCAGTACAGATCTTGGTTCAGAAAGCGTCAAAAACAAACCCAGCATTGCTCCTGTAGGCACCTTTGCTGACTTAAAAACTGATAAGCACACAGAGAACCAGAGTGGGCGTGAAGATGTCACTGTTGAACCTGGAGCTCATCTTTGTATGATGTACCTTCTCACAGGTTCTATACTTTGAACATTTACAGAACTCTTCAGATGATTGGGCGATCAGTCTCCTAAAGAGAGAGATCGGAACTCACCCTATCACAAGACGTTGAATGAGGAATCCCCCCATAATCTCATAGAGCAACCCCGGCAAAATGATGAGTCGTCATCTAAAGTCGGAACTAGTTCAGATGTGAACAGGAGAAAAGTGTTAAGGATCATCTAAAAAGGCCATGACGAAATGCCAAGGCCCAAAACACCAGTATTTTCTAGGACAACATCTGAAAGAGACTCTCCCTATCCGAAAGAAATGAGTGTTGCTAAGAAAACAATCGAAAAG